GATTTTCAATATGTTAAACCATAAAATTATTTTTTAACTTAAATTCAACTTAATTAACATATAGTATGTTATTAGTTTCCAAGGTAAAATTTAGTGATTCATCAGTTGCATTTAACACCCAGTACTCATTCCATCAAGTGCCCTCTTTAATGCCTATCACCCAGTTACCCTATTCCCCCACCAACCTCTCCTCCAGCTGCCCTCAATTTGTATCCTATAGCCTATAGTTAAGACTCTCTTACGGTTTGCCTCCCTCTCTGTTTTTATCTTATTTTATTTTCCTCCCCTTCCCCTATGTTCATCTATTTTGTTTCTTAAATTCCACATGTGAGTGAAATCATATGGTTTTTATCTTTCTCTACTGATATTTCACTTAGCAAAATACCCTTTAATTCCATCCACATGGTTGGAAGTGGCAAGATTTCATTCTTTTTGATGGCTGAGTAATATATATATATATATATATCTCACATCTTCTATACCCATTCACCCATTGATGGACATCTGGGCTCTTTCCATATTTTGGCTATTGTGGACATTGGTGCTATAAACACATAAAATTAAACTTTATCTTCAAATAACCAAGATGAAAGGGTTCCTGGGTGGCTCAGCCAGATAAGCAGCTGACAATTGATTTTGGCTCAGGTCATGATCTCGGGGTCATGAGATCAAGCCCTAGGTTGGGCTCCATGCTCAGCAGGAAATCTGCTACTCTCCCTCTTCCCCTCCTCCCAATTCTGTGCTCGTTCTCTTTCAAATTAATTACTTAATTTAAAAAGAATAAATGACCAAAATGTACACATGCTCAGTTTTATAAAGTTTCTTTCTCGACCTTCTGATATCTTTCCTTCTCCCTAACCCCACCTTCTTTCCTCTATGCTCCTCTTCCCCCTCCTCTCTCTTTTGCCTTGCTGATGCCATCAACTCTGGCTTAGTCTGCTTTATGGGTGAACCAACATTGGCAAACCTCAGGATCCAGGAAGTAGAGGAGAGGGCCAGATAAGAAAGACATTCCTGTAATTTGGATGATAGCAAAGGCCCCCATATTTCCTTTTTATGTCATGATGGTGGTTCCCTCAGCCCTTAGCTATCACATCATCAGGGTTCAATGAAGCCAGAGCATTGAAATCATTAAGCAAATCTGCTAAGACTAGAAGGCATACTAGACCAGTCTTATAAGGAAATGAAATACAGAGCCACTTGAATGGTATAATCTGAAGGATGTTAAAATGATATCTCTGTCCCAGAACATCTTTCCAAACAAAAAGTTCTTGAAGGGATTGCAGCCTTTCAGAATATCCTATTAAAATGAAAATGCCCCAAGAAAGTTTTTTTTAGAAGCCTAGGAGATAATATTTCAGTAGGGATTCATTTCCCAAGGTGACAGTGGATCAAAGGGAAAAGCCACATAAGAATGCACAGGACAAGAAATAGAACAGGAAGATGGTACATGTCATAAAGGAAGATAAAAGGGTGACAAATTTTGACTCCTTCAGAGTTATACTAAGGCAGACCTTGTTCCTACTGCTTTACCAGGTGCTCTGGATCCCAGTCATGTAAGTAAGAAGAATTTTTGGAAAGTGTTGGAAAGGAATTGGGAACTCCAACTGTCCTAGTGCTATGTAGTGTTGATGACAATGAAAAGTTTCAGTCTGTACTAAGCACATTATGGGTCAAAATTACAAAAGTCCTTCAAGCTCTAATGCAATCATAGGAATATCATGTTGAACAAAATAGACACCAGAATGGAACTGTACCCAAAGGGTAGCTGGGCATTGGGCCAGAGAGCTGTCAAGTAACCTGTCTTTTTGACTATTTCCAGGACAGAAAAAAGAAGGGACAGGAGCTTGAGTTGCTTGAAGATGCAGTTCAGCCAGCGTTGGGAAGGAAGACCCAGACACAGACCTGAAATATTTTAGATTATACATTTGTCCCCCACCCCCAAATTGTGTTGTACAAAGTAGAATTTCAAATTATTCAATCTTTCTTTTCTCCCTAAGCTAACAATCAACATGTGTATTTTATTAACGTAACTGAGCATAACTGCAGTCTCTTTATAAATCTGTTTAATGAACACATTTATCTCATGTTTCTCTAAAAATTCATTTGCCCAGTTAACAAAACCTCATTTACTTAAAATGTGTTCATAAGCATTATAAAGTCTCCATAAATTTCACAGTGTTGTGAGTGTAAGAAGGATTAAAGTGTAGGTGAAACATGAGACTTTCAATGTCATTACCTCCCTATTCTTATTTTGACTTGTTCAAGATATTAAAACAACTTTAGTCATTCTGACAAAAGTCAGTGTAGTTCTTTTTTTCTACTCAAAAGAGAATAATTCCTTAAGTTTAGGTAGTTTGGAACTCATACTTAAAGATGTTGAATTTGGTCTTTGCTCTTTAGCATGAGGGTGGGGGTGAGGAGAAAGGTCTGTATTCTTATCCATTGGGTAATATGTCTGTAGGCAGGGCACTGTTCACTGCTTTAGTTCTTGGATTGTTTAAAAATCTTTCTTGGTTACTCCACAATCCCCTTTTTAATCATCTCATCTTCCTGCTCAAGTGTCTCCAGTTCTGATTCTAAAGCATTATTTGGTAAACTATATCATTCATAACTCAACCAGGAATGGGGAAAAAAAAGAAAGCTTCTGAGTGGTGAAAAATGGATACCATAAAAGACATGCACTGTATATGTCTTCATGTGAGAGCCCCTGCTCTGCCCCTAAACAATTTCAGGAAGTCTACCTGTCCAGTTTCAAATTCACAGATGATTGAAAATAATAAATTAAAATGAAGTTACTGCTGCTACAGATTATTATTATTTTTAACCTTTATTACATGTTACTAGCTACTGAACACTATGCTAAGCCTTTTATATCCATTACTTCACTAAATCTTTGCAACAACTCTATAAAGCTAAATATATTAAATAAATCCATTTTACAGTTTCATAAACTGAGTTTTAAACTAAGTTTTAGGATTTTCAAATTTATCTATACTTAGTATGGACAGGCATATAGGTAACTGTGTAAAGGGCTATGAGATAGTCTGATAACAAAAGATTAGAAAAAGTACAAAAGAGAAAGAAAATACATGCAGTTGGAAAGCATAGGAATTTGGAGGTTTTTAATTTGGAGACAGTCTACTTTATACCTCTCAGCAGGTTTCAAAAGGCAATATGGTGTTAAAATATTGTTAAGGAGCTGGTTTGTGTACTTATAACCTCTAAACCATTAAAAATAAATTAAATTATGTTTAAAATTGTTATTTAAGAATGGAGAAAGAAGTGTAATACATGCTATAAATACTGAAAATTTTTAATTAAAGCCTCTGGATTCTGGTTCTGTTAGTCAGTTTGCTGTGTTCTGAGCATATCCCATCACCAGAGTTTATCCATTATGCTGACTAATGTGGAATTGACCATTTTTAAAGGAGACTTGGGAACACAACTGACTAGATGTGTGATTTGAAGTTGCCAAAGACAATCCCCAACCCCACTCTAATAAAGAGACAGAAATACCTGTCCCTTAGCCCTACTTAAAACGACCACGTGGCCCAGGTTCAGGATGTGATTGCAATTTGTGATGAGAAGAGAAGGTTAGATCTTGAGCAAGGGCAATCTTACCTATTACACCTTGCCTAGATCTATTCATGGTAAATATTCCAAACAAAACATTGTAGGAAGGGACCCTAGGGACTGAATAGGTAGGATGTGGAAGAGGCTGAGGTACTGCAGGCTGTACTCTGAATGAGAATTAAACAAATGGCCTAGTGTGGATGGGAAAAGGGGAAGTTACATGAGACAGACATTTAAAAAAAAAAGTCCCAAACCTCTGTGGTCTTTGAGAAATGTTTGCAACTTTTTACAAGGGCAGTGGTATTACTCCTAATTTCCTAGCCAAATATTTATTAAATTAACCAAGGACTGAGTACATCAGGCAGCCTCACATCACTGCAACATCTCACTTACTTTCCCTGCAGCTCTAAACTGAGGTACTGTAAAAAAGAAAAAAGAAAAAACAAAACAAAACAAAACTCTTCCACACTCTAAATAGCGACATTACAGTGGAAAGTTGGAATGTGTTCTGGGAGTGGGTGTGTTTATTTGAGTTCAGTGTGTGCAGAAAAGGCAAGCCTCCATAGCCTTTTACACATTTTCCTCCTCAATGATGGGTACACAGACAGCTGAGCTCCTGGACTAAGTCTCTGAATGGTAATGTACATTTATAAAGATTATTTTCTTAACTATTTTGAGACACTTTATAAATAATGTGCATGTGTCTGCTGAGCACATATATATATATATATTTAGTCAACTTGTGTTTATTTTCTCCTGAGGGTGATCTTGTGTGGTTACTTTTGTGGTATGATTTCTGAGGTGTCAGAAAGAGTTTCTACCTCAGCAAACCCAAAATTGGGTTGACCCACCACAGAGCCTAAAATCTCCACATTGCTCAAACATTTGATTTAGTCATTGAAAGCAGCTGTTAAAATCCAAATGTTACATTGGGTTATTAAGCAGACATAAGAAATTAAATACTATGTAAAATAGAAAAGAATACAGAGAAATTGTTTCTAATGTTAAGTTTCAAAAGAAGAAAGAAAATGACATATACAGTCTGGATCAGATGTTGTTCTTAAAATGTTATGGGGTCAGAAACCAGCATATATGATTCAACTCATGAATATGAAACTATAGTAAAAGAAACCCAGCATTGTTAGGCAGGTTTTGTTCTAATTTATTTTAAATGAGTACTTTCCACAGTTTATGATCCTCAGATCCCACTCTCTTGACAGTGTATCTCATATTCCCCTTGCTGAGCTCCAGAGGCTCCCAATGACCTAGTAATCAACTTTGGTGGGACCCAAATTCCTACCTCCTGGGAAATTTGCAGAGCCTGACATCTTTTAGAAAGGAGCTTTTTCTAAATGGAGTTTTTAGAAAAACCACCCAATCTCTCTTGGTAGCAAACTGCCAAACCAAGCTCATTTCCTCAAAGGATGGTAGAGGACTTAGCAGCCTCCTATATTGCTCTGAAATTGGAGAATAAAATTTTGTAGGCCCAAGTGAAGTGGCTGATGAAAGAAAATGTTGCCCCACAGGCCCAGATCTTAGAGCTCCAGATGCCCCAAACAGTCAAGGAGTCTTGACCACTCCAGAAGACCTCAGAATCCCAGGAACCCCAGAAACCTCTAGAAAACCTAGATCTCCCTCAAGCCTGGAAGTACCAAGAACTCACAGAAGTTGAGGATCCCCAGAATCTCAGAAAGCCCCAGGGACTTCCAGCCTGGAAGCCCTCAGCAGCCCAGGAGCACCAGGAAATGCCAATGGTCCAAGAGACCTAGAAGTCCTTGGAACCCCCAGCAGCCCCATAGGCCCTGGAGCTTCCAGCAATCCATGAGCCACAGGCACCTTCACTGGTTTGGAGCTCTCAGCAGCCTGGAAATCCTAAAATCTTCCAGAAGTCAAGGAACTCCAGAAGCCTCCACTTTGCATAGGAGGCCCAGGAGCCCCCAGATACTCAGGATGCCCTGGTGCCCAAGAAGCCCCAGAATTCAGAGCACCAGGATCTTCCAAGTGCCCAGGAGACCCAGGATGCAACAGAATGCCAGGAGACCCCAACAAACCTGGAACACCTTAACTTCCAACTCTTCAGGAGTCTCTGGAAACTGGAATGCCCCACCAGCCTCTGGATCCTTTAGATGCCCAGGACTTCCTAGAGCCCTCCCTGGAGGGCTTAATAGTTGCTTTGACATCAGCAGCTTCAGAGTTCCCACAGTCTCCCAGTGGGTTAGAGGGTGAAGCTGTCTTCCTAGAATACTGTTTAGCCTTCAGTGGAGATTACCAGAAACTTGCTGAGTTCCTGGTTCAATTGAATAGTTACATGAGAGTCAGAGGGCACCTGTATCCTACTGAAGCAACTGTGGTGAGCTTTGTTGGCAATTGATTCTCAGGTGAGGCAGGAATGTGTTTTTAAGCCCTTACTATATATCTAAAGTGTGCCCTGCTGGAGCAATATGAACGTTTCATAGAAGTGTTCCAGGATACTTTTGACAGTCCAGAAAACATGGAAGATGCTAGTCACTGCATTCATCAGCTTTGCCAAGGGGAGGGTCCTGTCCACCAGCATGTGACCCACTTCCATCTCTGCTCAAGAACTAAACTGGAATGAAAGCATTCTCTGCATCCAATTTCAGGAAGGCCTTGCCAGTTCTGTCCCAGATGATCTGTCTTACACCAGCCCAGCAGCCACCAACCTATCCGATCTGATCATTCAGTGCCTAGAAGAGAAGCTAAGTGGCAAGCCTGATCTAAATCCACAAGGAGCAAGTCCCTATGAGGAGATAACTGGACCTGAGTGTTCACTAGCTGAAAACCAGCCTGTGCAGGCTGCAAGCAATAACCCACATCTCACTGAAGCTGAACACGCCCACTGCTGTGAAGGCCTCTTGTGCCTCTACTATGGTCATCCTGGTCATTTTGACAGAGATTGTTCTGTCAAGCCTCATCGTGCATAGTAGGTGGGAAACATCAAGACCCTACAGTAAGGGAGAACCCACATAGGCCGATATACAAATATGGGTCACCCTCACTTTCAGTATCCATGTCTCATACCCTATGGCTTACTGTTGAATTCTGACTAGGAAGACTATAGTTCTTTGAGCAAGCAATGGTGGATCCAGGTTCCTAAAGGAACAGAATGGACCATTCTGTGGTTCTTTGAGAGAATTGCCCAACCACAATAATATCTTCCCTCTGATGCTTGAAATGGTAGACGGTCAACCACCAATTGATGGACCCATAACCAAGGAAACACAGTCTGTGGAAGTTAACATTACAAACCACATTGAAGAGCTCCAGTTTGATATTATTCATGCACCATGGTACCCTCTGTTTCTTGGAATTCACTGGCTTGAAACACATGATCCAAACATTGAGTGGAGCACCTGTACTGAGTCCTTTCCATCCCATTATTGTCACTACAGTTGCTTCAGGCACAAGTGGAATGGAAGATGTTGTGATGAAATAATTGGTGAATAGATCTTGTGTCCTTAACAACCTTTTTCTGTTCCTCAGCTCTCATCAGTATTTGCTCCTCTCAGAATCTTCCACTGATGGGGCACCTGGGTGGTACAGTCAGTTGAGCTTCCAGCTCTTGGTTTGGCTCAGGTCATGATCTCAGAGTCCTGAGATAGAGCTCATGTTGGTCTGTGGTCTCAGCAACAGTCTGCTTAAGGTCCTTTCTCCCTCTGCTCCTCCCCCTTCCTTGTGCTTGCTCACTCTCTCTCAAATGAAAATAATTAATTAGTTAATTAGTTAATTAATTAATAAAAAATATTTTTAAAAATTTTCCACTGAATCTTTGGCAAGGAAATAAGTGTACTTGCACAATGACCCTGCCTCTCAGATCATGCAATGATCTCAGATCAGGCGATTAACCTGGTATCTTTGAGTTCCTTTTTTTCACCAACTCCGCATGCCCCCACCTTGAACCTTGCATTAATGTGGGGCTGTTTTAATTGCAATTTATTCAACAATATGCATGAGCATAGGTATTAAGAACTAACATTGAAAAAGTGTAGTTGAGGGATGCCTGGGTGTCTCAGTCAGTTAAGCATCTGCCTTAGGCTCACATCATGATCTCAGAGTCCTGGGCTTGATCTCTGCCTCAGGCTCCCTGCTCATTGGGAAGCAAGCTTTTCCCTCTCCCTTTGCCTCTCCCCCTGATTATGCTCTCTCTTTCTCTCCCTCTCTCTCTCAAATAAATAAAATCTTTTAAAAAAGAAAAAAAACGGAGTTGTTAGATTTACTTGACTTTTTTGTCAAAATTTTATCACAATTGCAACATTTTCTCAATAAACAAAACAAATTTACAAGTTATAATTTTAAAAAATCAATAAATATTGGCAATTTCTACTGGTGTTTGAATTATTTCATGACTTAGCTGAGGGAAGAGGAAAGGGGCAAATAAATTGGGAAAGAGGAGATTGGCAAGGACTTAAAGTTTGGGTGAGATCCTGATTATTCCAGGGGCAGTCAGGTCAGTGGGTGATGGGTTTGGGGGAAACAGAGAGTAGGGGAATGGTTGCGGTAGAGGGAAATTGGGTAAGGTATGAGGAAGTAGGGGGTAGAGGGTAGAGGGAAGGTTGTGAAGAGAGGTTGGGGCAGATTGGGAGGGAAGGTTGAAAGGGGTTCAGGTGAAGGCAGGAATGAGAGGTGGATAAACTCCTACAAAAATAAAGGGAGCAGCAAAGAGAGATATTGAACAATTTTAAAAGCAAACATCTTGGACTTTGTAAGTTAACTAAACAAAAGCATTGAAGAAGGTAATGACACCCCTCAGTGAACCAACTTTCCCAGTAAAGTGACAAGGGCTTATTCCCTGCACCAGGGACATTTGTCTTAGGGCTCATGCCTGTTAATTTGCTCTTGCTGGTGCTTAAGGATGGGATAGCAGGAATTAACTTTCAACACATGCAGATCATTAGTAGCTGACTATAACTCTCCCACATATATAGGTTGCCCCACCCTGCAAGTCATGCTGCTTGCATGACACACAGAGAGAGCCAGGTCAGTGAAAAGAATTATGTCCTTATGGACCTGAGAGGGGGTAGTGTTCTGACTTAAATCACACACACATATACATTCCCACAAAATACAGGGTCGGGGGAAGGAGGAGTAGGATCTCCAGGTAAGATGTAAAAAATTATCAAAAGATTCTAATGCTTTTCCTCTGTCTTTTCAACACTCCTTTTGGAGTCTCCTTCTGAAGCCACTTGAAGGAGTTTCTACCTCTTACTTAGAGAAATAATCAAATATATGAACATAACCTTAGAAAGAGATAGGTAAGGAACCTACCATCATTGAGCACCTAATATGTTCCATTTATAATATCAGGCTGTTATACACATTAACTTATGTATCAGAATAATCCAGTGTAGTAGGTATGTTTGCTCCTGTTTTATCAATGAACAAATAGAGTCCCATAGAGGCCAGTTCACTTGCCCAAAGTCACATTAGTAAGTGTTGGAGACCTGTTTGGTTTTCACAACATTTACCCTTTTTCCTACAGTATGCCAATTTCCCTAAAGTAGTGGTAAGGATTAAACGAGATTGTGGTGGCAGAGAGCTAAGTGAGATAACCCTGAAAAGGGAAGAGAGGACTCAGAATAAAATCTGCAGGGACTATTTGGGTAATAGTTCTGTTTCCTGAGTTCCCATGGTATTACTCTCAACCCCCTCTCCACCACATTAACCCCTAAACTTTCTATTTCATCTCTTGGAAAAATTCCTTTATTAAACTAATGGCACAACCCTCTTTCACACAGCTAGCATAGATGATAAATGTGTGTGTGTGTGTATATACATATATATATATATCATCTATGCTAGCTATGTGAAAATTTATATATATATATAAATTAGTGCTATATATATATATATATATCTGAAACATGATAAAATTAACAGTAATAACTAAAGTTTAATAAGCACTTGGGTTTTGCCAGACATCGGACTAAGTGATTGGGTATTATTAGTCCCTTTATATAAATCAAAGAAGTGAAACCCACTGAGGAGAGGTCACTTGCCAAAGGTCACACTGCTAGGAATTTGTAGATGCTAAAAACGAACACTGATCATTTCAGAGCTGGAATTCAAGCCAATACACCACACTGCTTCTCAGGCTGAATAAACTTTACTCTTTATTACCACTTTAACAATTCACTTTATTCACCAGACATGAGTTATATTACTTTAGAAAATTACTTTAGAAAAATATATTAATTTGTTAGTGCATTTATTTATTTACTCATTGAACAGGCTTTGCTGAATGTCTTCAATGTGTCAGGCAAAGCATGGAGGAAGAGGAAGAGAGGTACAAAGATGTCTAATGTATGATTCATGGTCCTTGCTCTGACCACAGTTAACAGGGGAAGTTGTGCAACACAGCACTCCTGGTGTACAGAGGAAAGCACTAATTTTGCTATGGACTAAAAAAGTGTGTTTTGAGCTGGGTCTTGAAGGAATATCACTGGAAACAAAAGGGAGGGCATGGTTTTCTAGATTGAATAAAGTGCACACAAAAAAGCAAGTAGGAGGGAAAAATAATGGTGTCATTAGAAAAGATAGGTCTATTTCACTGGAGAGTAGTGATGTCTGTACATGTATGTAGGGTAACTGGTAGGTGTCATTGGGGAGATGAAACTTAACAAAGAAATTGCAAGTTTCAGGTTAAAGACCTATCTACATGGATAAAGCATTTAAAATTTATCCTATGGGCAGATTACACTGGAATCTTTGTTTTTCTCCTGTATTAGATTTGGGTGTGCTTTTCCACCTCTTTTGCTGCAAAGTAATGCACACTCATTGTAACAAATTCATATATATATAAGAAGTTTATAACATAAAATTAACACACCCCTTATCTCACAAATTATTTTTTTAAGTAGGAAAGAAACATGATTCATTTACATTTTAGAAATTTGATAGCAATATAGAAAATAACAGAGAAAGTGACAAAGTATCCCCATTATATTTTATCTTCTTAGGTTTTTATGAAGATAGGCTCAAATCATCAAAAGCAAAGAATTAAAAGTAAATTAAATCCAATTTTCCTCAAATATTTATTTTGAGTTCCTAGTATGAGCAAGATATTGGAGTATGCACACATATACACAGAATGTCCAAACCATTAAAAAATTTAAAATCTAATAATGGGTGAATTATAAGAAACTCATAATTATAAGAAACTGCTTTTCTATTTGGACTTCCTTAGTTTCACATTTTAAAGATACTAACTGGAGAGGATTTTCTGAAATTATATATTCTGCAATACTGGCACAGGTACAAAGAAAACAGTTCCCTCTTTAGCTAACTTTTCTAAGTTTAAGCTTTTATGGAAAAGTAATCTCCATATATTTTGGTAACTTCCCTTCTTGGTTTGTTTTCTTTAAAAATATTTCATATTTCATGCTATCAAAGTACACCTGGAGTAGTCATGGTCATTCCATGGAGGGCTTTATGTCCTATAAATATCTGTATATTTCTCAAAGTATGTTTTTATATATTTCTCAAAGTATGTATATCTTTAAAAGTATATCTTTAAAGTACCTGTATATTTCCAAAAGTATGATTTTAAAAGATTTTATAGGGATATGTGACTTTAAAATTCCTACTGTAATTAACTTTGATATCTAGTATATTACTAGATATCAAATATTAAATGACAAGAGTAACATAGGGGTCAGAAGATTAGGGATGAGGATATTAGGATTAAACTCCAGAGTTCATTGCTTACTGGTTGTATGACCTATTTGACTTATGAAATGAGAATAATAATACTTACTTTGCCTACCTGATGAAGGTAGAGAAAACATCAAATGAAAAAGCTCATGCTAAAAAAAAATCATGAAAGTTAAAAATGTTGTTCAAATAAAAAGTATTAAAATAACTTATGTTTGTAATAATGACCCCAAGGAACTCCATAGTACTAAAATGCCTGTTTCAGGCTTCCAGATATGGAATGAATAAGTCATGAATTTGAATA